TCAAAACAATGCGACTGAGCTTCGCTTAAACGTATATTTATATGGTTTTATAAGATATATAGATTAATGTAATGATCATCATATTTCCACATTTCTTTATTACAGATAACTACTGCAATCACCACTGGCTTCTTAATAGTGAAAGTAGTTGTATCAAAGGTATGAGATGTTTTTCATTCAACTTTTTTTATTTGAGTTTTATACACTTATTACATTGACCAAAAATGTCCTTCTGTTGTCCAGCTTCTGTCACAGGGAGCGTTTGGGTATTTGTTACCCATTGTCTCCTTCATTCTGGCATGGATAGAGACGTGGCTGCTGGACTTCAAAGTCCTGCCCCAGGAGGCCGGCGATGAAATCAGTGAGAATCTAATATCTAATCACAGTGAGACGAGCAAACAGTAATCATAACTATGATCAGTAAAGGCTAATGGACATAGTTATAACTTATGGTGATTGTGATTTGCTCGTACAGTATGTAGCTAACATGTGTGTCCTGTATGGTAGGGTATCTTTCAGTGCAGAATGCGCTAGATCGAGAGCCTCTTTTACACCCAGGACCCATTACAGACGGCCAGTTCTACTCTCCTCCTGAGTCCATGGCAGGTAATAACTTACTAACTGTTCAGTACTAGCTGGACAAGCGTGGAGAAGCGTTCTCAGGGCCACATGGAAATCTACAGTCATGTGTTTTACAAGTTGTAATAACTTGTTTTTCTGGTTCTGTCACTTGATAGCTTAAAAGATCAGTGACATCAGCTTTGCAACACTTTGTGGATGTTTATGGATTGTTTATTTTTTTTAGTTTGTTACATTTTTTTGTAGTCATAGTTTATTTATCACGTGTCACGGTTACATACGAGAGATATAGTACAAACTCGCTACGTTTATATAACATTAACAGACACGCATTTTCCTGGAAATGCCACTGTCAGAGCTCAGGTGCACTGCGGTGAGCGTTAGAGATATTCAAGGAAAATGGTATTTAGAGGTGTTGCAGCTGTATTAAAATGCCTTGAGAAAATATACCATTTCCTATTGATAAATTGTATATTTTGCTCCACTATGATTTTATATGCATCACACACTAAAATTGGTTATTTGGATGGTAAATATCATATATTAAGCTGGGTGTCCACCTTAGAGGTAATCACCATATTTATAATAAAACCATCATATTTAAAAAAAAAAAAATGATATTAATCATATCATATAATAAAATATCATATTTATTGTTACTACTGTAAAGCTACATTAAATAATTATGGGATCCCCTTCAGTGCTTTTGGAATCTTTGTTTTTTTAAATAGTTTTGATTCTTGCATTGTGACAATGAACATTTTAATAACAGTATATTTATGGAACAAAAACAAATTATTTTATTCATCACAATAAATAGAAAATAGTACAAACTTTGCTATGATTGTTTTGAACAACTATTAACTTTGATACTATTCTAAACATATTACTTTAGCTAAATTATTTGTATAAAATAAATACTTTGTGCCTTTTGCCTAATGCTGGAGATTTTTTTTTTTCCTTGTGGCCCACCTTGCCTCATATATTTCTAAGATGTTTAACTTTTATGATTCATGTTCACACAAAATCTGTTGCTCCATCAATGTTCAATAAAAAACATTAAAAACAAAAACATTTCTGCAATCTCTATGGGAGTAGTGAAAAGCACAAAGGTTTGCCTTTAGCCCCTTTATATATATATATATATACACACACACAAACACACACACCGTTCAAAAGTTTGGAGTCAGTAATTTTTTTTTTTGTACACTGCATATGCCGGAAACAAAGCTGTGAAACACAGCCAAGAGCTGAGGAGAAAAACATTCATATACTAACATTATCTTACACTAATGTTCACAGTTTGGGGTAAGATAAAAAAAAAAAAAAAATTAATACTTTTATTCAACAAGGATGCATTAAACTGACCAAAGTGACAGTAAAGACATTTAAATTCTTACAAACAAAATTAAATAAGAATCCTAAAAAAATCTTAAGTAGATCTCTAGATTTGCTCATTTGTTTCTAGTTTGACAGTTTAGTTTAGTTTAATTTGCTTTAGTTTAGTTTAGTTTTGTTGGTAACACATTAGTTTAGGGATCAGTTCTCACTATTAGCTATATGTTAACATACATATTACTAGTTTATTGGCTGTTTATTAGTACTTATAAAGCACATATTCTGCATGGCCATATTACACATCCTTAATCCTACCAATACCTAAATTTAACAACTACCTTACTAACTATTAATAAGCAGTTTATTGAGGCAAACTTCATGGTTAATAGTTAGTTAATAGTGAGAACTGTACCTTAAAATAAAGTGTTACCATTTATTTTTATTTTTGTTTTCATTCTTTGCACTTCTTGATAATTGAATCAGCAGTGTCCGTTCCATTGTGGGCAACTAAACTCTTTTTGACATTGCTGCAGTATGTGTCCCTTTCATATTTTATGCATTTTAAATGATCGCACATGTCTTTGCATTACCCTGTGCCTTCATGTGCTTTAGATTCACGGCCTAAAAAAAGATCACTTTTCTGTGCTGATTTTATTCAGATGGATGTTGTTCATCTTAGTAAACAGAGCTTATATATATATTATTATTACTTCATATTTCCATTTTTCAATATTATTTCAGTTTTCAGTTGTTGCTTAGAAAAACATCACAGGCTACAAAATTATGTGTACTTTATTAATATGAGAAAATTGTAAGTGAATATTTTTATGAATATAACATACCTTGTGCATTTGTAAAAACATCCCCACTGGTGTTTTTTGGCTTGTTTGTTGTGTGCAAACAACAGCCATGCTCTGTTAATCACACTAAATATGATCCTTTGCTTCTGTAGACTCTGATGAAGACCTTGATGATAAATATTATCTTGAGAAGCCCATCGTCTAGCAGGTATCAATATTAATAGTTATTGTATAAAATATTTTTCTTCCTCAGTTGATCTAATCCAAGTAATCTGAATAATATGTTGTTATTTTGCTTTTTTATTAGGAGCTCAGATTAAAGACTGATTTTCAGAGTGCAACAGCCTCTTCCTCAACCTTGGGCCATGTGTCTTAATATAGGTTTTTGTACATGGGTGACCAGAACTAGACAGTCACTCTGCCTTAAATCCACCATCGCCATGATCAGCAGTTTGTTTATCTCTCTCTATGCCCACACAAGCTTTTAGTGCAATAGATTTTTTTGTGTGACTTAATATTTTTCCACTGAACAAAAAACTAGTGTTTATGCAGTACTGCTTGAAAAAATGAAGGATTTTAATGTGCATTTTGAACTTAATCATCAAATGATATCAGCGTTGAACACGACATTTATGACACTCTTCAAATGCTTCAGTGTAACAAAAAGACTGTGTCTCACGTTTACGCTACAAGCTCCATATGTGTATTAACATTGTTATGCCTCTGATCTCACATACATCACTGGAGTTGACCTAAATGTGAAAAGCAGTATAGTCTCAGGTCTGCACTGCCACTCGGTGTGTGAAGATTTCATGTTTTTCCCGGTCTGTTTTCTTTTTTTAATGCTTTTTCTACCAGTCTGGGAGTTTTTGGAATGAACAGAGAGATGATAGAGGCTTGATTTACTTGCAAAATAAAGGACTTGCCTAGTTTTGCATGAAACGCACTTAAATGTAATGATGCATGGATATGTAATACGTTTTTATGTTTGTTTGGGCTCCTCTTCAGTAAGCTTTCTTAAATCATCTTAAGTAAGAAAAATAAATCTACTTCCTGTTGAGTTTACTTTTGCCATGCTTACTGAATAAGGGCTTATGTACCTGGTGCAGGTCTGGGACCTCCAATGCATATTTTCTTTAATATTTTGAGAATCTCCATACAGTATGTACCTATCACAAAGCCTCAAGTATGCAGGATGATGGCCGATTGTATTTTTCTTTCGTTATGCATTAAAACAATTACTGTTTTTATTAAATGTGAGTCTTTATGCATGAGTTTTTCCAGCCTGAAAGCGAGAGGAGCGGAAACCCCAGCTGAGAGTCAGTTTGTGCTCTCACGGATAGTGCAACCTCCTCGCCCACAAATAACAGCTTAGATCAACAAGACAAACACCCTGCAGCCGCTAATAAATTATCAGCCAATCGTGCTGTGGTTAAACTGCTGCATGTTCTCTTTCCAGTACGCGCCTCCGCCTGCGGTGTGTACATACCCAACCACATTTTCCTACCGCAGCAGTTTCAATCACCATGTTTTCACATTCATGTATAGGGTTTTGATCTTTAAACTTATTTAATAAATTAAAACAGATTCTTTTGTAGCATAGTGCACTATAAAGATGTAAAATGCTATTTGTTTTTTAAGAAGTAAATTTTAAGTAGTAAAATAGTGCATTTTAGGCAGTGATTTAGCAAACATAATAGTCAAGTTTAGTATTATTATTATTAATAAATTATATAATTTTTATGATGTTATGAATTATTGGAACCTAAATAAGTACTTATCTGTTACATGCTGTATTTTATTGGTATTTTGATTTATTGATAATATCTGGGATAATATAATAATCTTTAGTAAATTTTAAGTAGTAAAATAGTACATTTTAGGCAGTGATTTAGCAAACATAATAGTCAAGTTTAGTATTATTATTAATAAATTATATAATTTTTATGATGTTATGAATTATTGGAACCTAAATAAGTACTTATCTGTTACATGCTGTATTTTATTGGTATTTTGATTTATTGATAATATCTGGGATAATATAATAATCTTTGTATATAATAGTTTCATTTTATTTTTAAGATAAGATTTCATACAATCATAATTTATAAAAAAGAGTTTAATTATTCATAATTGAAAAAGTGCGTTTGTAGAGAATTCGTCTTACTACACGTGTAAAGATAACATTTCATTTATTTTATGAGCAGATTTTATTTAACAAATTCAGAGAATGCAACAAAAACATTACAATGGGAAAGCAAAACATTTTAAATTTGGGTACATTATACATTTAAAAAAATCAAAATATTGCATTTTAAAGATGAAAAAATAAATTGTGCAAAGCAGATCTACAACAACTTTAAAAGCCATACATTTTAAGCAGAAATAATATTGCTGTAGATATGCATCTATTCTTTAGTTAGCGAAATGTGCTTTATGTAATAAACCTTTGCTTGCTTGATATTTATCTTATGCATTAAGTCTCTGAGCTTTTGTCGTTCTTTCCAGCTTTTCTCTTTAATTGAAATATAGACACAATGCAAAAAAATAAACCGTTCTTCATGAGCATGACACCATATGCATAGACAAACAAGAACATACTTGGTATTTGCTCTGAATCTCCTGTAATAAAGAAAAAAACACAGTTAAATGCTTTTATGTAAAACATTTATATGTTAATTTTATTCATACTGTATATAGGTAGCACGCGTAACATATCTGCGCATTACGTTTTTGATAAACACAGGTAACAATTTATGTGAATTAAATGTTTTGGCATGAATGATTTGACAATGTAAGTTTTTTTCTTCTCTTTTTGGTCCCTTAAGGTGCAGTGTCGATAAAAGGTAACACTTTACAATAAGGTTCATTAGTTAACATTAGTTAACGAACTAAGATTGAACAATACAGCATTTATTAATCTTAGTTAATGTTAATTTCAGCATTTACTAATGCGTTATTAAAATCACAAGTTGTTTGTTAACATTAGTTAATGCACTGTGAATGAACATGAACTAACAATGAACGACTGTATTTTTATTAACTAACATTATCAAAGATTAATAAATACTGTAATAAATGTATTGTTCATTGTTCATTCATGTTTGTTAATACGTTAACTAATGTTAATAAATGACATCTTATTGTAAAGTGTTACCCAATTAAATTAAGACAAATAGGATCAGTTAGATCAGAATCGTTCAGTGACTCTATAATAATAATAATAATAGTCTGTTAAATGACTGTAAGAAGCATAAAAAGAAAATGTACAAATGATTATACTCTGATTTTAACTGGCAAAAAAATATTAATTTAAATGTTGGCTTGGAAATAAGATTTTGAAATACAAAAATAGTTAAAAATCCATCCAAATGTATCTTTATCCAAATTTATATACATTTATCTATTCATTTTTATTTATTCACCTGATATTTGCTTTTTTATGGTCTCCGCAGTGCTGGGTGGACATGTTGGGTTCTGAGCATCATTTTTAGATTCCTTTGCCGGCTTACTGTTTTCTAAAATATAACAATACAGTGACAAAAATGTAAATGCAAGCACACAAACACATGTATATATGAAGAGTTCATTTGCAAAAGTAGATAACTCAGTTTTTAACAATTTTCAAAAATGATGTATTTTTCATTGTGCATTCCAATTAATCTCAATCAAACTGCAGTTGGGTTATTTTGATTAGGTAAAAAAAAAAACACAGCTAACTAACACAATAAAACACAATAAAAACATGATAACATAGTAAAAAACATGATTTTTGAAAAATAAACAAAAACTGAGTTATCTGTTTTTGCAAATAAACTCTTCATATATATATCTATTTTTTTTTTCCTGAATGTTTCATCCATATGTTAACACTGTAATGTTTGTAATGTTTAATTCTAATTAATTCTTTGATTTAATTAAGGGTTTAATGAGGTTGTCATATATAATAAGGAATAATTGTTTATAATGGAAGCTTTCTGTGTCTTCAACCCATATCAGTTGTAATAAACTTTATTTCCATGCAATTTGTAGTAAATCGGAGTGTCTTCAAATTACCTTTCTTCAGTTCAACAGAGTTGGAAGGATTCTCAGTGTTACCCTCATGGGTAACATTGCATTGGTAGTCCTTGTTTTCTGCCATGTTTTTATCTACAATTGTTTGTAATGTTTAATTCTAATTAATTCTTTGATTTAATTAAGGGTTTAATGAGGTTGTCATACATAATAAGGAATAATTGTTTATAATGGAAGCTTTCTGTGTCTTCAACCCGTATCAGTTGTATTAAACTTTATTTCCATGCAATTTGTAGTAAATCGGAGTGTCTTCAAATTACCTTTCTTCAGTTCAAGAGAGTTGGAAGGATTCTCAGTGTTACCCTCATGGGTAACATTGCATTGGTAGTCCTTGTTTTCTGCCATGTTTTTATCTACAATCACCATACTTGTCACAGTGACAGCTGGACTTTCTTTCCTCTGCTCCACAACATTTTCCTCTGATACATCCGTCCACTGTCCTGCACCGCTCTTTTCTTGCCATTTGAATGTCACAAAGTCAGGAACCATGCCACTGGCATGGCATAACATTGTCTGTTTGCCATGATTGTCAGTGTTTTTTTTTGATGTTCGGTATCCAGTCAACTCTGGTGCCGTGACAGTTTCTTTCTTTGGGTCTTTGAGAGAAACACATGTTGAACATAGCTTCAGTGATCAATGAGCAAATGAGCAAATAAGCAAAAAGAGAATGACTGGCATAGTTTTTACTTAGAAATTATATAATTTTATGCATTTGAAGAAATTCTGACACTGTTTCCTACCGGTTACAACCAGCCGTGTTCCAGGTCCAAATCTTTTGATCCAGTTGCCCACTCAGATAAAGTCTATTACAAATACTTCTGAATAATGAAAAACCTTCTAGCCTGCTATATAATTGATTAAGACCACTGTTCCTGATGGTCTACACTATTTTAAAGGGATAATTCACAAAAACAAAAAAGAAAATTCTGTTATCATCGCCCTCATACTATTCAACATTTGACTTTATTCTTCCGTAGAACACAAAAGATATTTTGAAGAATGTTTTAGAACTGTTTTCGTTCGTACAATGGAAGTCAGTGGGGTCCAAAATCACACTGAACCTTTTTTATTATTATTTTCATTGTATGCACAAAACAATTGCACAGTTTTCAAAATATCTCCTTTTGTGCTCCACAGAAGAAAGTCATACAGGTTTAGAATGACACGAGGGTGAGAAAATAATGACAGACTTTTCATTTTGGCTAAACTATGACTTTAGCATATTTTCACCTTTTTTATGCAAACATGCACACTCACTAAGCAGCCTGGAATTGCTATTCTACAGTAGCTATTCTTCTCTCTGTCTCCAGCTGAATTACACAAGTAATTCGTGTGAAATTAAGTTTAAAATGCTTAAAATCAGCCTAGAAGACCTTAATGATATGATGTTTTTCTTACCTATCACAAAAAGTCTTGTACCCGAACCGAAGACTTTCTTGACTCCCACAGTCATTTGTTCTTGAACAAAAAGGTGCAGCTTGTGCAAAAGAGCATCTGCTGTTGCCTTATGTACATTGTTGTAGAATATCCCTGTAGACTTTTGAAATATTAACTAAGAGAGATAATATGAATCTTAATCTTGATTTTGGTCACTGAATTGCTAAAACACTTTTAATTTACTTCTGCATTGAACAAATCCAGCAATAGTGTTCTGTACAGTGTCATATCACATTGTTACCAGTAGGACTGCAATAGTTTATTTACAAATCTTGCAATACTCACTCATGGCTGGTACAACTGTCAACAAGCTGAGATTTGACCAACAGTAGAAATGCGGTCTGTGGCTATGCAGACTCACTAAACTTTTAGTAAAAAATATAATAATATTAATCAATTAATTAAAAAATGTATTCAAATGAAGGCCTTGTGTCTGTTAAATTCTGTCGATTCCTCGAATGCTACAGCTTACATATACAGTAGTTTCTTACTATTCATCAGCACATTTGTCCTTCATCAGTCAAAATTTCATTCCTAACCTGTTTTCAATCTAGTCCTCCTTTTCCCAAGTGCTCAACACCCTTTGGAGTGAATGAAATTCATTGTTTCAGTGTTTAGCAGATGTTTTTTTTAATATCAGAAAAAAAATAAAAACACTTGTGGCTTGTGGTTTCAGATTAAAGCAGGAAGCCTGCTGAGTTTTTGCACAGGGTGTTAATATTTATAACCACTGTGCCGCCTGAGACACAGCAGGCACAGTAATACATGGCCAAATGCTCTTCTTTTAGTTCACATATTTTGAGAGCCAAATTTGACGGTTTCCTATCTATTGTAAATTATTCAAAACCAGCATCGTTGCTTGTGGTTGTACTTGAAATTCCTGAATATAATATTCTTCTTAAGGTTTGTCCCTCTTTTAATTGATACCAGTGAATGTAGTCCCTGCAGTCTGAAGGATAAATACAGTCTATAACAACTGTCTTATCCAAAGCTTTGATCAATGACTTTTTCTGTTGCAACTTCTTGTTTCCATCCACTGCAACAAAATAACAATCAGACTTGACATAAAATAAGTATGTTGCCCTATAGGTAATATATAATAGCTGATATAAATGATATAATGTTTATAACTTAAATTAGAAAATTAGAAAATGATGGTATGTTGAGAACTTCAAAATGAGAAGACTCACCTTTACCTAAAAGGTAAATAAGAAACAAAAACTGCAACTGCATTTGAAGACTCATGATGGCAGAGGGTGTCTGGAGAGCTTCTGTCTTCATTCTGGGATGAGGGGAGGTTTATGATATTAAGTTTCCGGCCTTCATGCTGATCTGAGTTTGTTTTGTGGTTCATGATTCAGATGTGACAGATTCTACAGCTTCTACTCTGTGCTTTTGTTTTACTCTATGAACGGTAATAAAATTAGCATATAAATGGGTAGTTTTGATGTTTTGAGAATGCTCAACAAGGCTGCATTTGATCAAAAATGCAGTAAAATTAGTAACTAATAAGAAACACGGCTGTACTTAACAGTCGTACATGCATGGTAATTATTTTGTACATACAGACAAGTGTTGGTACTTACAGGTAGTGCCCGTACATGGTAACTAATTAGATACTTTACTGTACTTACTAATGTATATACATGGTAAATATGTAGTACTTATGGACAAGTGGGTACAAACAGGCACGTCCTTACAGTATCCGTATATGGTAACTAACAAGACACATAACTGTACATACTAATAATATGCACATGGTAAATGTGTAGCACCTATGGAAAATGTGGTATTATGTGCAACAAACAAGACACATACTGTACTTGGTATATACGGTACGCTTGGTAAGTCCTAACCTGTGTAATGTTCAGTGTTGGGGAAAGTTACTTTTAAAAGTAATGCATTACAATATTGCGTTACTCCATAAAAAAGTAACTAATACACTTCAGCAATAAAAAAAAACACATAAATGTTTGTCTAGAGTCATTTTTGCTTATTAGTATGGTTGAACTTACCATGTATGTACAGGGAAGTACACGGACTGTAAAATAAAGTGCTACCGAATTTTCAGCAAAATCACCATATTAGAATGATTTCTGAAGGCCCAAGGGACACTGAAGACTGGAGTAATGGATGCTGACATGCAATTCCATGGCTTTGCCATTAAAGATTAAAATAGAGAACAGTTATTTTAAATTGTAAAAATATTTAACAGTATTACTGTTTTTGCTGTATTTTTGATTAAATAAATGCAGCCTTGGTGAACATAAGAGACTTCTTTCAGGAACATTACAATTTTTAATTATTACAAACATTTGACCACCAGTGTACATAAATTCTTGTCCGCTAACTTAATATGCTACATAAACAAAAATATTGGTAAAGCCTTGAGCAGCTTATTAGACTGTGTAGGGGCAGTAAACTCATCTTTCTTTATATGTGCAAAATGTTAATTCACCAGCAAGGGATGAATATTTTCAAATCTCAGACAAACTTTAATCATTTCCACTTTGTAAGTTAGTTCACCTATAAAGAAGGGGTTTGTATGCACATCTGCAGTCTACTGATGTTTTTCACCACATTTATGAGGACATCCAGCAGGTGCAGCACCATACCAGAACCCTATTTCTGAACAGAATGGCATCAGAACCCAATTTCTAATAATACATTTTTGATATTAACTGCATATGGGTAACAAATGGGAGGCTGTTTTCCTGTCCTCATGCTAATCTGAGTTTTGATTGAGGTTCATGATTAGGATGACAGCTCAGGCTCAGAGCCCCTTATTCAAAAATAGTAAACAGAATCTGGTCGCGTTGTTTATTTCTGCATTTGTCAGTCACAGCTTACACTGCATTCAAGATATACATTTTGTAATTTCATGTATTCCCTGAATCAAACCCATAAGCTTGGTGTTATTAGCACCATGCTCTACTGTTTGAACTACAGTAGTACATTTATGTTTATATAAAGTTCAGAGAAAGGTTTGTGGTTTCTGATCAAGACAGGAACCCTGCAGTTTTTGTGCAAAGCTTCAGTATTTATATTTACTGTGCTGCGTGAGTTGTAGTCCCAGCATGCACAGTAATACATCGCTGAATGCTCTTTTTTCAGCTTGGTGATTTTCAAAGCAAAATGATTCGATGCTTTCTTTTCTGATTTGAACTCATCACCAGCATCATTCCCTTTTGCAAAATCAAATTTCCTTTTCATAGAGACTATTGACTATTAGGTTAGATGCATAATAATGGTTATTCAAAACACTAGTTTTATAATACAGAATCAGTTATAACGCCACACAATAAAATACTCACCTTTGCATATCAACTGAATAAACAGGAATAACGAAAGCATCAGAGGAGGATTCATGAAAAAAGAGTGAGAAAGAGTCTTCTTCTGTGTTTTCTCTGTGATGAAGGTGGATTTAATTTCAGTGAGCTACAAACAGGAAGTTGCAATGCTATTGAGTTTCCTACCCTCATGCTAATTGAGTTATATATGACATGATCTTAATCTGTACATTTACCTTCAGTTTATTCTTTTCCATCAAGGATTTATGCATTTCAATAATGGATTTCATCACTTCCACCACTTTTGAATGTGACACAGAATCAGCCTGTTAGTCTGCGATGAGCGTGATTTCTAATGTTGTTTGGACTGCCTCAGCACCTAAAGAAACAAGTAGCCTATAAGTAGCTGTATTTCAATGTGTGGTTAAAGTTCTTTGTGATACATTTGTGATAAACAACGTGACATTTAAAGACATAACCAAACATTTCTGGCTATTGGTGGTCTAGCACTTTTCAAGTCTCAGAAGTGTTGCACAATCCATAAGACCATCTAACACTCGCTCATTTATTTATTTACTTATTTGCCTTTCTCCTTACAGCCCAATCAAAGCAATAAATAAATAAATAAATACATAAAGACTTCAAAACATATTGACTGCACTGCTCACATTATGTAATGCATATCAGTGGCTGATGTGTTATTGTTTACTGAGACTCTGCATTGAATTGTGTGCTGTTCATGAATTCCCTTTTGCTTGTTAAAGTTGTTGTACTGCAACCCGAAAAACTGTTTGCATTGACAAGGCCTGCATGTTTCCACTACATTTCATAAAGTAACCATCATTCTACCCTATATTTTTGGTTTTGCTATCTGCAATCACATTTGCTACCCCAAACCGCACTATTTTGTGGTTCTTCTCCGAGAGTATCTGTCAGACAGTCAATACTGCATGTGGCTTATAATAGTTAGATTTTGGCAAAGTTCCTTTTGTGGCACAACAGTCTCTCATGGTTTATGTAAAAGATGTTAAAGTGTTCTCTCACT